TAGTTAGACGCCTTGCAAGCTCATGCAAGCGGAAATGATTAGCAAACCACTTGTCGACATAATCGTGTCGATATTCATACAATTTATGCACAATTACGTTAGTTCACTTTTCGAAAAACCACAGTGTAGTAGTGTTTTATTTTTACATGCAGATCGCGTAACATTTGTTGCACGAAAACGCCCACAAACTTCCCGGAAGTGCATCGACATCCTCGAGAAATTTTTTGCATGGTTTTCACGCGGCAATAGAACCAAAAAATACGTTTTAAACCCTTTCTCACCGTTTTCACGATTTATCAGTTTAAATTATCTTACAAACACCTTAAAACTGCTAATTACGATTCCCGTTTGCGATGTGGGTGGTTTTATCGTGAGTAATTTACGAGCCTTCATTTTTTTTCTCACCTTTACACATGTATTTTGCTGTTCTAAACCCCTAAAAGCCCTCATACTTTCTGCCAAAAAACCGCTTAGCGAAATGCGGGATGATTTGTGGGCCGCAGTACCCTTTTCTAGGGACGAAAAAAGCGCACCGCCCTTTTCAAGCAAAAAAAGGAGGATTGCAACTCAAAATCCGGCCGAGGCCCATTTTTCACTTGGCATCTGCCATACTTCCCAGTAAAGGCCATCCCAGGCCGAGAACTGCCGGGGGAACGGCTCATCAATTCGGGCGCGCCTGGCTTTTGCTATGCTTTTTCGCGTTTTTTTCGGGGTCCCCGAATATTCCACCCATAAGCCACCCCCACCCCTAGTCGAGGGTTATAAGCCTACTTAGGGCCGGCTTACTAACCAAGAGCAACCCCGAAAAGGGAGCTACTTACATCCCTATTTCTAGGCTGTTTCCGGCGAAAAAAGTTTTCGGGGTGCTAAGGAATTTGGTGGGGGTTGAAATGGGCCCGGCTGCCGACGGGCTTGGTGCGCTATATTTTGGGCTTAATGTGGTACCAACGGGGGTCTGGGGCCCGGGATTTGATCTGAGCTTAGGCTTACCTCGAGGTTAAGCCGCTTGAATTTTAAGTGGTTTCTTTCCGGAAGGAATAGCGGAGGAAAACGGCAGAATTCGGTTTTTCGCCAGGATCTGGGGCGAAAAAATAATTTACAAGCTAATTTTTTTAGAATCTTTTGTGAATGTGATTATTGGATTTTTATAGATTTTACTGAAAGTATAGGCATTAGCTTAATACAGTGCTTTTCATACCTTACTTTTCACTTAATTTTTAAATAAAATTCTAATAAATTCTTACACAAATTATATTTTTGACAACCTCGTTAGCCTTCATGTTTAACACTCTTTTTATGAGCTAATTTTAACTTTTTCGCCCTAATCTAGACATTTAAAGGGAATAGGAAGTTCGAAAACCGACACTTAGAGTCGACTAGGTGTCGACAGGGATTCGTATAAGAAATCTCCTCTTCGCACTGTGGTGCAGTTATTTTTTGGAGTGTCGCGTAGTCAGAGTTTTGTTTTATCCATTCGTCTTCTTCCACGTCTCGTAGTTTTTTAAAGGGGCAAGCAAGACAGAATTATAATTTCGGGGCTGTGGATTCCCTATCGTCGATATCGCACGCGCGACACGCGACGCCTTACGCGCCTGGTAGGAACGCACCGTAATTCATTACGAAATCAAATTCATTACGACAGAGGCGGGTTTGTCCCAACCTCCCTATCACCCCCTCAAATCAAATATCCGGCCCGCTTCCTGCCGTTCCGTATTTTGATTTAGTGTCCCTACGCTTATTCCGGGCCACTCCTTTCTCCGGAGAATCGTGCTCCACTCCTTATTCCTTTGAGGAGTGAGGGTGTCTCCCGAAGAAAACAACTCATAAGCCCACCCAGGCACCCGATGGCGCGCTCGCCGACCTCGCCAAGAAATTTTGCTATATAAACAAAGTGTTGTGCTTTTTCGGGGGGTGTTAGAGGGGGAGGAGGAGCGTGAGGATTTTGGGCTAGTCGGGGTGGCGCAGGAAAAATTGCACTGAGTTTTGGGTGAATTTTAGGGTTTTATTTCTTCTGGTGTTTATTTTTTTAGCATCTAACTTATCCCATTGAGATTTCTCTAAGGTTTTATACAGTTATTTCTGCATATTCTAAGGTTGTAGTATGGAGTCCAGGCTTCTTTATACGCGTATCAATGATACCTTAAAAGAATGTAATCTTTGCGTATTAATGAAGCATTTATCCAAAAAATCGATGCTTTCTGTTAAGGTATCCTTTGGATTAGCAAAAGAACCTTAAGGTACCGTCTAGATCTCCAGCGCCCTTTCATTAATGCGTCTTTTTGTGTCGTCGATTTAATTGAGTTTTATTTCCGTTTTATGTCGTGTCATAACGTTTTTTTGGCTAATTTAATTCATGGATATTTCTGGTTGTGAATCCGATCTACCCATCTCAATTTTTGGGTCCTAGTAGGCCCTAAGGAACACAAAAGGGCCCCAGGATGTCCCTATTAAGGGAAAAACGGGCCCACTATCAAAAACACGCCCCGTTTTTGAGGGGGTCGCTAGGCAAGCCGTGTCGGCTAATCGGGTGTCGTTATTCCGGACGCCGCTGGATACCAGTTTTCACGTTTTTGTTTTGTTTAGTGGTGTCGTGGTGTCTCTAAGGTGTCGCTAAGGAATTAGGAACTCGAAATGGGGCCCATAGGGTACGGTAGTGCAGCTATTTTTGGGCTTAAGTTTCAGAAAAAAATTTCCTGGTTGTCAAAATTGACCGTAATCTAGAGAAGAACGCATAAAAATCAGTTCTCACAATTTTAGCACCGTATTTGACAATGAAATATAAAAAAATTAACTGGCATTATTGCTTTACTAAATTTCGTTAAATTAACTCTTTAGAATATTTTCAGTAAATAACGATAAAAGCCATCGAGAAAAATAATCAAATTAACAAGTGCATTTTTTCATTGCCTGGTTTTTTGCATTCCGTGCCAATACCTATAAACGTTTCCCCCCAAACAAATCCTAGCCAGATTCGTATTCACCAACAAAATCCAGAAAAAGTCTCGCCCGCCGCCGCGCACGTAGTCAAGTTGCGGAACGCCGGGGCGGGCGGCGGAGTTTTCGCTGCGGGACCTCCGTTCTACCCGTTCGCCCATGCATAGTGGAATAGTTGTTTTTAGTGGGTGGAGGCCCACTTCCGAATTAAAGGGTCAACACACTTGCGTTGTGGGGCACTTACTTCTTAGACAAGTTGGGGTTGGGTGATTTTTGATCGGATTCAAATCTTCTTTTTTCCAACGTTTTTTTGCCTTTGCTCCATTACCAAAGTTCAATTTTTGCCTATCCGACCTACCTCGGCCCTAATTAAATTCGGTAATTTCGATTAGCCCGGTAAGCCCAAAAAACAGGGCCATTTTTCCGGTCTGCTCCTCCCGCTACGTTCCGCGACTAATTACACCCCCAGGAAATTGCGTGCTTATTTGAGGTAGTGGAAGAAGTGTACTCGCGTGACCAATTGGGTTTTGGGGGGGGGGGGGGATGAACGATTGATGCTTATGCGGCCATAGGGATGAATAGAGGGACATGGACATTGCGATAGAGGGGAACACTTCCTCGCTTTTAGAGGGTTGGCTGAGTGAATGGAGTGGTCAAAATTGTATGGAATTACGATGGAGGGTGGGTATAACTGAGGATATAACCAGTCGCTACACGACTTTACGATTTTTGTAGGAATAATGATCGTTTTAAGGCACTTTATGAGCTTTTGTTGTGACGACAAGGGGCAATCTAGCAGCCATCTTTGGGAATACCTTGATAGCTTCAATATTCCGTTTATTGTAGATTAATATTTGCCGCTTCCGAAGATTTATGTTAGATAGCTTGGTTAAGTAGCATTGATTCTTGGGGAATTCATATTTCGCTAACGTGTATCAATGAAGCACAAAACTCGAATCGAAATCCTAAGCCTTGCGTCGGAAACCGTCGTTTTCTGGTTGAGGGCTGACATCTGGCTATTTCAAGCTAGCAGTGTTATTTCTAAATTTTGACGATCATTAGTGTGCTTGTCATAATCCCATCAACCGCACAAGGGCTTAAAAATTTTCGTTAAGTGCGCTAGCAGCGTTCCTTGGAGGAATTCTCCTAACGTTACTGTGTTTACCATCATCTCCTCAATCGGCTAAACCCTCAAAATTTCCTAAAAACCGCACCTCCCCCGCGCGGCCAGCAGCCACGAGCCATCTCCTGCCTCCTTGGCCCCCTTCGGGTCTTTCGGTGTGTTGATTGATGATGGCGGCTTCTGACCCTTCCCTTGCTATCCACATGCCCACCTCTTCTCCTCCTTCCTTTTCCGGTCCCTTTAACGACCCCAAAACGGCCAGGAGGGCTTTTTTGGGGCCCCTCCACCTCCAAGGCTCAACTTCTGGGGGTCCATCTTGGGTCATACACGCTGACCCGAAATTCCTCTCGACGCCGGAAAATTGGGAATTTGGGCTAATTACCGTGGCTACACGCAGCTCCTATTGACGCTGAAACACAGCTGTTTTTATTCTCATTAATTAATTCGGTTGTTGGCTGACTTCGATATTCAAAAAAAAAACTAGTACCTACGCTATTTTTCTATTGAAACTATTGTTGTCGTATTTGTGTCCGTAAAGCTAAACTACGGATTTTTGCGTACGAAAACAGAATTTTCTGGATTTATCGAAAATGAAACACTTATTCGGAAGTGAAGAAGCGTTGAAAAATTAAAAATTTTGGATTCTGATGCTCCTATATCGATACCTACGGTAGTCTGCCGTGGCCGCTACCGTATCCGACCGTAAACTCCCAACTTACCAGTAACTTTTGGGAATTCACGACAATCTATCCAAACCTAGGTTCCTATCGTAGCCACCGGTAACGTACCGTAACTTACGTATTCTTTCGGAATTTCCGGTAACCGATCGTACCTACCGTATTCTAACGTAACCTCCCGTATTTACTACCATAACTATACCGTAATCGCTATCGTAGCCCTGGATTCCGCACCTACCAGCCCAGGGCCGGGAAGCCCGGGGCCTATGAGCCCAGGCCCCGTCCGAAAGTCCGGAGCCTTGGTCCTGCGGCGATTCTCGAATTCGGACATGTCGCGCAATGTCTCGATTTCCGAGGAGATCACCTATTTTGATAATTGGCCTCGTGAGTATACATTAGAGGATACCTTTACTTGCATCCCAACTCTCGTAAATTTGGTGTCGTATCGTGTTGCTATGTGTTCTTGTAGGTTGGCTATAATGAAGATTGGGGAGGGTTTTGATGGACTGGTTTTTAAGATGAGAGGTTTAGGTTAAAATCCAATTCATCACTGAATGTTTCAGACGGCCAATCGTCGGAGAGCCAGCCGACGGAGAACGACCGTCTCATGGAGTCGGAGGATGAGGGGTCGATTCGGATCGAGGTCCCATCACGGCCCCCAACTGGGGCAAGGATGGGAAGACGGTAAGCGGACGTCGACTTCGATGGAAAAACGGCCGTCTAGCAAAAATTCTTGAGAAATTGGGCCCTGGAAATTACGTTAATTTGTTGTTATCAGTAAATTAAGCAGGGTTTTAAAGAAGATCCAGGCAGATTAAGGGCTAGCAAATATCCTTGAGTGATTAGCATTCATGGCCAAAAGACTAATACCTTAGTTGACCTAGTGGAGAATCTGGCGAAAATTAGCTTAAAAACCAAGGCAGACTAGCAGGCAGGCATTAGGCACTAGAGGTTGAAATCCTTAAAGGGATGCCCAACCTTTTCGGGGCTCAAAAATCAAAAACCATGCCGCGGGCGGGGGTCGAACCCGGGACCCCCGTTTGGTAGGCCTGGATGCTATCCATTAGGCCATAGTGGCAAGCCATTGTGTGGGATGGGGACGCCACTAGAGGGAAAGGTTGCCGATTTCTGTGCGGCAATGGCGCCCAATTGCCGCACTAAATTCGCGCGTCATTTGTACTGCCCGGAATCCATAACTATATATTTGCCGCCAAAACCTTGGGTATCCCTTTAAGGAAACAGGCCTCCAAATATGCATAAAAACGACTGTTTGAAAACACTGTATTTCCTTCCCCCTAAACAGCACCAAGTTCGAGCAACCACGGCCCCGGCTGTCGTTGCGGATGAGACGGTAACCCCAGCGTGTTGCGAGATTAGACAATTTTCGATTTACTTTATTTGAAATCCGTCTTTTACGGATCTCAACGTATCTGGCTTATTTCAGCTTCACCCTCAACCCCCTGATCTTCGCCAAAGAAGAAAAAGAGGCGAGAAGGCAGTCGTTGGCGCAGCTGAAGCTCAGCTACTACCCAACCAATGTTAATCGTAAGTTTAATGGGATAGAAAAGAGATGGATATGGATTGATTCATGAATTAATGAATGAAACGTGCATTAATGAACACACTATGCTTTCCATTACAGCGGATACCTACGATACGGGCCTTGGGTTTTGTGGATGGCTGTTGATGGGGCTGTCGTACCTGTTGATGCTGTCGACGTTCCCGATTTCGGTGATATTCTGTATAAAGGTATGTAACAGACCTCTTGATAATCTCTTTACGACGGATTTTAACCGGAGTATACTGTAAATACGGTACTTAATGTGTGCTTATCGAATCGGAATTTACCTGTGCTTTCAGGTGGTCCAAGAATACGAGCGAGCCGTCATCTTTCGGCTTGGACGATTGATTGGAGGCGGAGCAAGGGGCCAGGTTAGACATTTTTGATGTATCGTCATGAGGTTTAGGTATCTTCTTCGTACTGCCGTGTATCGAGTCGTACACAAGGTTGATCTCAGGACCGTGTCTTTCAACGTTCCACCGCAAGAGGTTCGTCTTTATCTATATTTCTCTATCTTTCCCTCTCTCCCTCCCTCTCTGTCACTCTCTCTCCCTCTCCCTCTCTCTCTTTCTCTCTCTCTCTCTCCCTCTCCCTCTCCCTCTCTCCCTCTTAGCCGATGTCGTTTCAGATCCTAACGAAAGACTCCGTGACAACATCAGTAGATGCTGTCGTCTACTACAGGGTTTCGAATGCGACAGTATCGGTAAGTATTTACAACCCAGGATTTAGCAATCGATTATGCCCTCTAATTCTTTAATTTTAGGTCGCCAACGTTGAAAACGCCCATCACTCAACGCGATTATTGGCCCAGACAACGCTTCGAAATATGCTGGGAACTAAAGATTTGGCCGAGATTCTGTCCGATCGAGACGCGCTGGCGATTAGTATGCAGGTAAAAGCATAAATGGATTTCCATTTTCCATCCATTTACCATTAGGATCTCTGTCAGATTGTCCAATTTTCGGTGCCAAACAACCTATAGAAACTGAGCAACAGCTAGAACTCCTCAAAACTCCCATTTTCCAGGCGGTCCTCGACGACGCGACGGAAAGCTGGGGGATCAAGGTGGAGCGGGTGGAAATGTGAGTGCCTCAAAAAAGGAGCGCAAAATATGGGCGCGATTTAGAAAAGACGTCCGACTCCCCGTCCAACTTCAAAGGGCCATGGCTGCTGAAGCTGAAGCGACGAGAGAGGCTAGGGCAAAGGTACGGAGCGCCAAATAGCTTCGAAAATGATTCTTCTAGGTTCTATTTGTAAATATATGCCTCGAAAATTTTAATTCTACTGGTAGGAAATCAATAATTTATTAAAGGTGATCGCCGCCGAGGGAGAGCAGCTCGCGTCGAGGTCATTACGCGAGGCTGCAAATGTGATTTCCCAGTCCCCGGCCGCCCTGCAGCTCCGATATCTACAGACGCTGAATACTGTGGCGTAAGTTTCTCAGCGATGTTTCAAAGTAAACCTCTTCAACTAAAATTGAATAATGGCTCAAAAATTTAAAATTTCCGATAACCAAAAATTCTCAGTAGCTTCGCTCTAAAACTATGGAAAACCGCCAAAAAACCCTCAAATTAAAAACAGCGCAATCTGTAATTTGCTGTCCTAATGTATTCCGATAGTTTAAAATTACGCACTAAAATAAAGAATTAAATCCTGAACGTTATTACGATGTTACACTTTGGAAAACCTTAAGGGAGACGTTTCCAAACCTAGAAGGCAAAAGCAGGCGCTGGAACTAGCCTGGCTAGCTTGGAATTTAGGTTCAGGTTTTCCCACAAATTTTTTGCACGGGTGTCACGCAACGCGTCCGCTACACGTAGCGCTATATTCCATGACTTAACGGCTAATGCCTCTTTACGACCGTCAATGGGCATGCGCGGTGCGTGCCGCGTCGCGTCGCGCATATCGGGTGGATGCCATAGGCTACTTAGAAAAGGCTATTGCCTGGCTCCTGCCTTTAAAACGAGCTATTTTAACCATGATGAGACAGAAAAGAGATTTCCACTCCAATTCCGCTATTTTTCAGAGCCGAGAAAAACTCGACGATCATCTTCCCGCTGCCCGTCGAGCTGATCAGGCATTGGTTGAGTTGATTGCAGCCGATCCTAAGTATTGCGGTGTTACTCTCATGATATACTTATTATCCATTCATTCCTGATGTTATCTCCCAGAATCTTCTTCTCAAAATCGGGTCTTCCCCTTTTTTAGCCAAAATTCCCCTTTCCACTACTCCGTCAAAATGTTGTCCCGAGTGCTTTCATTCCCCGTTCTGTTCTCACATTTTTCTAAAAAAATTCAATTTTAATTTTATCATCGTTTTTCGATTTTTCATGTATTTCCCGCCCGGCATTGTGATCACCCCCGTATCCTGAAAATGCTGCCGTAATGTGTTCGGTTTGGTAATTTTGTATATTGCCGTACTTCACCCTCTTTGACTCGCATATCTGTCGGTGGGATTGTATCTGTATTGATTGGATAAATATTGGATTTTGGAACTTAGGATTGCAAAAAATATAGAATACATAGAGCTGATTGAAGATTAGTGACTTCGGTTTGGCTTGGTTCGGTTCGGTTTGTTCTCTGACTGACAAGGAGACGTTTTTAGGGGACAACGGAGTTTCGGAATGGGACCTTGTCTATCTTGTGCAGACTTTTTCGCTGTGAAAACGTACCGTGTAGAATCTGCGAATCGACCAGAATAGAAAAGCTGTGAGAGTTTAAAGTGTGAAAAAGGCCCAAAATGGCCAACTTTCGGCACCTATAAAATCGAGCAGAATAAGTTTCCATAAAAACTAGCTAGCGCATCTTGCCTAGAAAATCACGCTCTTTCGGATGAGCCATCTCACGCAAAAAATTCCAGAATTTCTTGAAGAAATGAATTTTGACGACACACATCATCGAGTCGTGTGTTTTCAGCAATTGAGGAAATTTTGAAACTACGGCGTGAGATGACTCATTCGAAAGAGCATTATTTTCTGAGCAAGCTACGCTAGCTAGTTTTCATGGAAACTGATTCTGCTCGATTTTATAGGTGTCGAAAGTTGGCGATTTTGGGCCTTTTTCGCACTTTAAACCCTCCTAGCTCTTATCTTTCTACCATTCTGACATCAAACTATCTAATGCGAAGAACCAGTCCGCCTCCATCCCAGAAATACGCTATTTTATCGATTGATCATTATTCGACGCGACAGGCGCAGTCACACGTATTCGAAGCGGAAGGTTATCGTCCGAAGCATAGATGCCGCTCAACAGCGACGTTGCTCTCTAAAAGCAGAAAAGCTGATTTTAACCCCATCCTACCCTTGCTAAATTTCGCAGCCGCCGCAAGACCTCTTGTCGGAAGGCTCGCGTCGCTAGCAGAATCGTTAAACTATTTCCGAGCGAATGGAATGACACCCATAGGGTAAACACACCGGAGGCTACAAATATCTAAAGTTTCCCGCCCATTACGCCTCACCCCGAACAATCGGCTCCCATTCAATATAACGTAAGAAAACGAGGAGCAGCAGCAACATCGGTAGCGCCAGGAAAAACAGGCCCGATATGGACTAACAATGTACAGGATGTCCCAAAAAAATCCCCCTACCTAGCGTCCCGCAGTCAAGATATATATGATTTTATGATTTAGATACCTACTGAAAGCTTTCGAAAATGCGAGAAAACAAGCCGGTTTCAATTTCTAAGACTTAAACTCGTTCTATCGATATTTAAGCTTTATCTAAAAACCGGTAATTTTTCAACAGCAATTTGCAATTAGCCTGCAGATCTTGCATAAAACAGCGGTTTTTCATGGATTTTGGACGTAAAATCCTACCTTATATAATTTTGGTGTGTATCTTTGTGTGTGTGTGGATGTCAGTTTCGAGGCCGGATTTGAGGGCCTTCCCGTGTCCAAAATGCCCTAATTCTCCGTCACTTGGGGGAATCGACTCTTCTGTTTCCGATGGCGTACTCAGAATTTCGATAAAATACAAGTTTACAAAGTTAAAGCCGATTTTATTCATTTTTGGGGGTCCCTGAGGGCTAATTTGCATAATGTGAAAAAATACAAATTTCCTCATTCTTGCGAGTTGCATGCGCGCGTGTGGTGGGGGGGGGGGTCCGAAGGACCCGAGCTACCGGAAAGTCAAATTTCTCATGCAAACGCACCATTCCAGCGCCCAAGGCCCGCGAAGCGGGTTTTGGGCGCTGGTTAGCGAATAAAAATGCATAATACAGAAAATCAACCTCCTTGTTTGCTAGCCTTTTTAAGGGCTTTCGATAGATCCCTAAATCGTAAAAATCGGACTCGACCGCGGGCCGCTAGGTAGGGGTTTTTTGTGACACCCTGTAAACGGCGATGTCGATTTTACGTATCTGACCTGCAAAAAAAGAACACCAGCCAAATATACCGGCGCATCTGGTGTGTCCTTTGGCTTTCCGCCGGGCTTTGCTGATCGTGAAAATATTGATAGATATTCGTGACGAGCACGTGCGCATAAAACATCATTGTAACTATAGTGATCCCGGATAGAATGTACATCATCGTAACGATGAATGGATGCATTTGGACCAGGTAGCTATTATCGATCCCGCAAAGGTCAGGTTCGGAAGTGCAGATCTGAAAGGCTTATTCTACCCAACCAAGAAGGAGTGGGGGGCCCACCCCCACCCGCGGCGGGGAAGTATAATGAAAATATGACTTTCCGATAGATCGGTCCTTCCGACCTCTCGCCCCGGCCGACCAGACCAAACTCGCGAATGCAACTTGCAAGAATGAGGAAATTTGTATTTTTTCAGATTTTGCAAATTAGCCCTCTTAGGCTTAGGCTTAAGCCCCAACGGCAAAATCGGCTTCAACTTTGTAAACTTGAATTTTATCAAAACTCTAAAAAGGCGGGTCGATTGTCCCAAGTGACGGAGACCAGGGCGTTTTATACACGGGAAGGCCCTCAAATCGAGCCGCTTCATCCACACAGACACACACACACACCCGCGCCAAAATTATATAAGGTAGATATGCATTGCGTTAAATGTTGTACGATATACGCCTCAAGATGCACCATTACCTGTTTTGGATCGGTCAGCGCGAGCCCTTGAACGTAACATCCCCATATCGACAGGTTCACCGTGATCACCAAGCTAAAATACAACCCATATATGTAATATCTCGCCAATAGATAGTAGAGGTGATATAACTGCGTGGTCTTTGATGCCTTCATCACCCCGTAATAAAGGAAAGCGCATATCGTTTGCATCAGGAACGTGAAATAAAGCGACTATAAAACTTTAGGGGTACCTACTTGGGGCCTACCGCTGCGAAATGGAATCCAAATAGATTGTTAAATAAAACGCCCCATTCAAGTCGCAAACACGGATAAGGCGTCAAAACCATCGGCTGCACTAAGCTGCCGACCGTGTCGGTGAGTTGCGATGCAATCTGCAGAGTTACCTACATAATGCCGACTTTCATAATGCCGACTATTATAATGTCGAGTTTTCATAAAGCCGATTTTCATAATGCCCATTTTACATACTGCCGTATTTTATACTGCCGACTTCACATAATGCCGATTCTTATACTGCCGAGTCCAATAATGCCGATTTTGCGTCTTTTCGCAGGGTGCTAAGCCATAGTTTCGACGAACGACGTTTTGGTAATATATTTAAGGTTTTCCTAATGAAGTCTTAAAAGGCCGTCCGCCAGTCACTCGAACAGGCCCCGTACTAGCTTGGCACAGTTTTTTTCGACCCATTTTTATGACGTCATCTGAAAGAGCATGGTCAAATTAGTAGAGTGGGATGGTTTTGAAAGTTTTAAAAGTTTAATTTTGAGGTTAAAATGGGCCTCAAAGTTGCCGACACCCAAAAAATATATCGAAAACTACTTAACAGAATTTGCCGAAACTTTGTGACAATCCCTAATTTGGGTCGGGGAACATTTTTCTAATACATCGCGAAACCAGAAAGTGGCCGGAACATAGGTATCTTGCGTACTAAAAACAGTTTTTTCGGAATTAGTAGTCTTACGGGTGATCGCTGCATCAAGCGATTAGTACCAAAAGATGCACCGAAATTTTCTCTTTCGATTGATGTATCTTTTAGAATGCAGCGAGCACCCGTAAAAACCGAAAAATCGTCCTGAATGGGTCGCCGAAAGACCAAATTTGGCAAATATTTCAGGGAGTGACATGGATATGATTCTATAGCCCGAGTTAGGATAATTGCAAAAAAGAGCAAAAAGAAATAAGCTTTCTAAAGGTAGGCTGGGATTGATCTAGAGGCGCCCCGGCGCAAGGATCCCAGGCCACTACCAATGCACCACAGCGACAGCCGAACAGGCCTGCAGCCTAATCGGCCCCCGGAGGCCACTCTCTCACTTTCCCCCCTTTCTCTCGCCTACTCTAGCCTATCCCCACAAGGAATTCTTCACCAAAATGGCCGAAATTGACGCTTTGGCGACCCATTCAGGACGATTTTTCGGTTTTTTACGGGTGCTCGCTGCATTCTAAAAGATACATCAATCGAAAGAGAAAATTTCGGTGCATCCTTTGGTACTAATCGCTTGATGCAGCGATCACCCGTAAAACTACTAATTCCGCAAAAACTGTTTCCACTACGCGGTATACCTATGTTCCTGCCATTTTCAGGTGTTGCAATGTATTAGAGAAATGATCCCCGTCCCAAATTATGTATTGTCGCAAAATTTCAGTAAAATCGGTTCAGTAGTTTTCGAGATAATTTTTCGGTGTCGGCGACTTTGAGGCCCATTTTAACCCCAAAATTAAACTTTTTAAACTTTCAAAACCATCCCACTCTACTACTCTGACCATGCTCTTTCAGATGACGTCATAAAAAATGGGTCGAAAAAACTGTGCCAAGCCTTGTTCGGGTCTCTCGCAACGGCCTTTAACCATTGTTGGTTACTATAGTCCTTCGTCGTCCCCCGGGGGATCGCCCCACAAGGGGGACCAAGGGGGGGACCGCAAGGGGATGGTGGGGGACCCCGGGGGGACGGTGGGGGATGGGGAGGGGATCTCTTCTCCCCTCCCCCCCCCTCCCCCCAGTCTTTCTTGGCACCCGTATTGCGTAGTCGGGCAAACCAAAAGAA